TTAAGGATCTCTATTCCAAAGATATGCTGAGAGGTCTAGATTTTCAGGTCAGAGGTAGGTTTCTATCTTTTACGAAGAATGTGTTTAACATGCTAAATGCCCCTATCACTAGAGATGCTATTCCCTAGGCCTTATTTGCTATGAAACCTCTTAAGGTCCCAGGTCCGGATGGTCTTCATGCGGCCTTCTTCCAATAACATTGAGACATTGTGGAGGACTCGATATGCGAGATAGTGATGAAAGTCTTCTAGGGGGGTGAGATGGAGAAGTGCATTAACATAACCTTAATCACCTTGATCCCCAAGGTGGTGAGACCCACAAATATCAAGGATTTTTGACCTATCAGCCTGTTTATTGTCTCATACAAATAAGGTCATTGCCAACAAACTCAAAAACATTATGCCTTACCTCATCAGTGATACCCAGGCGAGCTTTGTGGAGGGACGAAGTATCTCAGATAATATCGTTTTGGTCCAGGAGGTTATTCACTCTATGAAGTGTAAAACTGACGAGGTTGGTTGGATGATTATCAAAGTAGACCTTAAAAAAAATATATGATAGACTTAGCTGGGACTTCATTAAGGATACCCTTCGAGATGTTAGTCTACCACAGCCCCTCATTAGAGTTATTATGCATTGCGTTTGTTCAAGATCCATGTAGTTATTGTGGAATGGGGAGCTCATTGAGGAGTTCGTGCCCTCGAGAGGCATTCACCAGGGTGACCCTCTCTCACCTTACATTTTTGTGTTATATATGGAACGTCTCTCACAATATATTGATTAGTTGGTTAATCGTGAGGAGTGGCTTATGGTTTTCATAAGTAAGAGAGGCCTTAAGCTATCACATTTTTTCTTCCCTGATGACTTAATCTTTTTTAGTAGAACTTCCAATAGACAGGTTTAGCTCATCAAGATGGTGCTCACAGATTTTTATGAGAGCTCTGGGCACAAGATCAGCGTGACCAAGACTCACATATTTTTCTCTCACAATGTTGTGCCTACTGAAGCTAGCAGAATTAGAACTGAATTTGGTTTTCAGGTCTTTAATGACTTTGGCATGTACTTGGAAATTCCTCTCATATATGGTCGAGTCACCACGGGCACCTATAAATATATCCTCAAGAAGGTTTAGACGAAGCTTTCTGGTTGGAAAACTAATTACATGTCCATGGCCAGTGGCCTAACTTTGGCCAAGTCTGCTCTTATGGTTATTTCTGTATATGTTATGCAGACCGCTGTCTTACCCAATTTGTTTTGTGATCAAATCGATCGTCTTGTGCATGATTTTATTTGGGCTTTGTTTAGTGAAGCGAAGAAGCCTACCTTGGTCAATTAGAAGGAGATGTGTCGGTCCACCACCCATGGTGGTGGTGGACTCAGTCTTAGAGCGCTCAACAAAGCTTTCTTCACGAAGGTGGGCTTCACCATTATGACCAAGCCGCACTATCTTTGGATGAAAATCCTCTGCCATAAATATAAGTGGGATTACTTGTACAGTCCTCCTGTTAATTTAAGTATCTACTCCTACCTTTGGAGGAAATTGAATGGCCTTTGGGATGAGTTGAACTATAGTTTGGCAAGGCATGTTGGCGATGGTACCAGAGTGAGGTTTTGGGAGGATAACTGGATGGGGGGTTGTTGTTCCCTTAAATTACTTGCTTTTCAACCTATTACTGATTCCCATGGGTCCATAAAAGTTAATGACCTAGTTACCCCGACTGGTCAGTGAGACTGGAACCTGTTGCAGAATATACTCCTGATTAGTGTTCTCCTTCAGCTGGTTGCAGTTAACATCCCACATGATGATATGAGGGCGAATGCTCCATATTGGGGTCTATCACTTGATGATAAGTGTTCAGTTAAATATGCTTATAATATGCTTACTGATATCTCTTCTCTTTTTGCAGATAATAGATGAGACTTGGCATGGAAATGGTCGGGTGCCCAACACATTCGTCATTTTCTCTGGTTGGTCTTGCAAAAAGGCCTACTTACGAGTGAGAACAGGTTTCACAGACACATGGCAGATGATCCTGGTTGCACGGTAGTCTGTGTATTAGTATAAAAGACCTTAACCATGGTCTAAGGGAGTGTCACCAGGCGAAGAATCTTTGGCAGAGGATCATCCCTCAGATGACTGACCCTACTTTCTTCAGTATTCCCTTTGATGTCTGGCTCTCTACCAACTTACAGAACAAGTATAGTTGGTGCTCGTCCTTTAAGAATTGGAAGACTACGTTTGGCATCACTTATTGGCTTCTCAGGAAACAATGAAATACTTTCATTTTCGGGGGTAGCCCTTCTAATATAGAGGAGTTAAAACACGAGATCTTTAGAATGACGGAATACACATTTCAAGCTTCTATCATTGAGTCTACCATCTCAGGTCATCACGCCTATAAAGAGGAAAAACTTATTAGTTGGACTCTGCCACCTCATAATTGGATAAAGATAAATGCGAACAGAGCTCTTCGGGGGAGCACTGATACGACTTGCACTTGTGTCATTGGCTGTGATAGCCATGGTCAGTGGCTTGGGGGTCATATTAGGAATAACGGCCCCTGCTCTGTCCTCTAGGCTGAGCTTTGGGGAGCTCTAAATGGTCTTGAGCTAGCTTTAAATTTGGGTTCGCATAATGTGATTTTGGAAATGGATAGTGCTTGACTGTTCAAGTCTAAAACAATGTTCAAGTCTTAAACAATGTCCTTAATAGGGAGCGGATTCCAATTAATACAAATTCTTACTTGATTCTCGCTATTAAGACTTGACTTGTGAAAGATTAGAATATCAAAATACAACACGTCTATCACGAGGAGAATCTTTATGCTGACTATTTGGCTAACCAGACATTTTTCTGTCCACTTGGATCTCACTATATGCACCGTTCTCCTATAGAACTCCTAAGTATCTTATAATAAGACTTTACTGTGATCTCCTGGTCTAGAATGTGTACTACTTAATCGGTCTCTTGTACTTCGTACTTCGTATTTTGTTTCCTTTACCTCCTTGTATAAAAAAAAAGAGATTGTAATGGGCTACCTTATAATGTTGTAAAATCAGAAAATATCAAATTTTGTAATATTTAATTTTAATTAATATTAATTATATTTTTAATTAAAAAAATAAAGAATTACAACTATTAATTATTCTATTAAATAAGTAAAACATAGCTAAAAACATAATCTGAATTATGATTATGCCACATCACTTATTCTACTGGATCTTACGGAGCCTGCTCATGCACGACATGACATTGTCGAGTCTGATCATAGAAAAGATTCTCTTCAAGCGAACCAGCCTATCCTCTGTATGGGGCTTACACGGCGGTGATTTAAAAAATATCAAAATCTTTAAAATAAAAATATTCTTAAAGTCTTAAAAATTAATAAAAATACATAAAATAGTTGCATCAAATACTAATATAATTAATAACTATAGAATTTAAAAAAATATATTATTGTCTGTCTCTACCAGCAATAAAAAAAAAAAAAAAAGACAGAAAACATAAAACATGAGTAAAAAATTATACCCGTCGCTTTCATTAAAATCAGTGGATAAAGATAAACGCCCCTCTCTTCCCCCCCTCTCGAGATCTCGACTTCTCGCGATCTCTCTTCACCGTCATATTGCAGTTGTGTTCTTTTTCTTCGTATAAATAAATCATAAAATCTATGAGTTTCTTTTGATGATTGAGGATGCTATTGGTCTGCTGATGTTTTGATCTACAGATCGGAAGAGGATCTCTCTTCAATTTCTTCAATTACCCCTCGGTAAATCAATTACTCTCTCTCTCTCCTTTCCCTGTCCCCCCGTATTCTACCATCTTTTTGGTCTCTTTAGATGGCCCAATCCTAGGGTTTCTTTGTTTGATCTTTCTCTTTTTCTCTTTTATCTGATTTTTTCTTGATTGGTGCAATAGATGCTAGATATCGACTTTTCTTTCCTTTTAGGGTTTGGGTCATACATATGTACATGTGTTTGTATGACTACCTACCATTTTAGGTACGATGAGGTGCTATTTTATTTTGGACAGATTGTTTCCCCTATTATTTGCAGTGCATGATATTGTGTTTTTAGTCCTTGTACGAAAACTGTGATCTTGAGGCATGATATTGTTCTTTTAGTCTTGTTTCTCTCAGAGTTCCATTGGCTGCATGTTCTGTTTTGGTTTTCCTTTTTGTTTGTTGGTTGAGTTTGGAATTCAGTTTGGGCGACAGGAATGGAGTTTTCTATTGGAAAAAAGAGAAACAAATGGGAATTTTGATAATTTGAATGGAATACATTAAGATGTTAAAAGAATATATATTATTGACGAAGGGTGCTGTATAAACCATGATTTGCAGACCTGCATCTGTTCATATTAATTGAAATTGGGATTTTCTCACTCATTTGTGGAGTAAGGTTGTTATATTTAAGCCTTTTTGCTAGATTTTCTTGGTTAGAAACTTAATAACGTTTTTTTTTTTTTTGAAATAAAGAAACTTAATAGCATAATTGGATCTGGGTAATAGATGTATTGATGAAGTTGAATAGTTCATATTGCCAGTGCTTTAACTGTTATATAATGCTTATTTTTCAGTTTCTTCTTTTGTTTCTCCCTGTTAAATCTGTTTGTACTATGGATTAGACTTGTCTAATATAATCTGTTGTTAGGTAAGGTACCTTCAATTAGCATGTTTGGTCCCGTCACAGTGTATCAAGATTTATTGAAATTAGGGCTCTGAGAATTTGAGGTTTTAATCATACACGATCTGTTGTCACTCTTTTTATTAATCACTTCATGAATAATTTTTTTCCTCTTTGACTGGCTGAGCGATTCTCTGTATAGGTTACTAGTGTTTATTATCATGGTGCAAAGAATCGAAATGCATATGATAGGCTAGAATCACATATAATTGAACAAGGTCTGACTTATTTAATACATTAACATTGAGCGATACTGCAATTGGAATAGGGTTACTGGCAACTAATTGAAATTATAAAGTATAATAGGAAGTTCCATTTGTTTTGTGTGCCAGATTGAAGTGGTACATACCCGTTAATGCAGTTGAGTAACTGGTTGAATTTATAATTGCGTCAGGTGTGTAATTGTCGAGCTGAACATGTCCCATTACCACGGGGATGATGCTGAGTACATGGCGGATGAATATGAAATGGAAGATGTAGATGATGATATGGATGAAGAGTTTCTTTCCAGGGATATGGCTGCATCAGATTCTGATGTTGATGAATATGACTATTCAGTTTGTGATTTTCTTCTCAAAATTTATAGATGAACATCATTATTGATAATTTTGGCTATTTAGAACAAGTTCTTTTCTTTGAAGTGTAATTTAAGGACGTTTATTTTTCTGTGTCAGCATAATAAAGTGGCTGATACTTCAGCTGCTCAAGCTAGAAGAGGCAGAGACATCCAGGGAATTCCTTGGGATAGGCTTAGTATCACTAGAGAAAAATACAGACAAACTAGGCTAGAACAGTATAAAAACTATGAAAACATCCCTAATTCGGGGGAAGGATCAGGAAAGGTAAGTGCTTCCCTTAATCTGGTGTTCAATGCTGATTGCATGATTATTGTTGTGATATGATTTATCATGGTTTCGTTTCTAAAATTAGGATTGCAAAGCTACTGAGAAAGGAGGCTTGTACTATGAGTTCAGGCGGAATTCAAGATCTGTGAAATCAACCATTCTTCATTTTCAGGTACCTTGATTGCAAGTTTGCATAGAATTATATGCTAGGTGTCTTTTTATATGAATTTTTGTTCATCTTGTTCATATAACTGAATTTGATAGTTGGCTTTTGTACTTTATAATGACAGAGAGTACATCTACAATATAATACGACCATTTACGATTGATTAATAAGATAAAAGATAAATTACATGAACATGACTGAGCCGTAGTGTAATCTACAAAATATGAGTGTATTTTGGATATACAAAAATTTAACTTGTGTTATTTGTTATTAAAAAAAACCATTACAAAAACATCACTCTTACCTATATCCATAAAAATCTTATGAATTTCAAAATTTCATACCTCCAACAGAAAATGTTGTAAACTGGCAAATGTGCACTCACCTGTGTGCTTTTCTTTTAAAATTTTCACTTTTCCCACTTCTCTCACTCTCTCATCATCTGTTTATTTATGGTGGTTAAGATCCTCATCTATCCTGTTATAAATTCTGTGCTTTGTAGGAAGATTAACACTACTAATATTCAGGTGGCCAGTTATAGGTGGTATTGTAAATCAAGGTTCTCAAAGCTCATTGGATAATAACGATCTTTGGTGAAGAAAACTATAAGTATGTATTGATGAGACTAAGGGAATTTTCATATGTAGATGCCTAAATAAGGATCATGACTTGTGAGAAGAAAATTGATTCAGATTCTCAAGATGCAGTTGTTAAAAGTGAAAATACATTTTGTTAAAATCAGGGCCATATGTATCTGATAGAAACAAAATTTTTTGCTGTTGTTGCAAAGATTCAGAAAACATTTCATATGCTCTTCGATTTAGGATATGTTTATTTCTCATTGGTATCAAGTCGTCAATTCCCCATCATCAATCTCATTATCTTTTGGCAAAATACAAAATTCCGTAGTCAGTTGCTCTTAATTAATTATCTCTCTCACTAGTTACTGTTCTCCCAAACTTTTTTAATATGTCTGACAAACCAAAAACAAGCAACAATGAGATCAATCCTGAACAAATCTGTATAGAAAATTGCAGCCTCAAAGTCACATTCATTAAGACATTTTCAACCACCACAGATCTTCGACTTTTGAGTGAATTATTCTGTTGCTTGCCTATGAAATTTAAATAGCAACCCGGCACTGTTTGCTGGGGGATTTGAAGGGCAGGTGGGTGGTTTGGTGAGAGTAGTGGGTTTCTGGGCTCAATTTGAACGAGAAATTGTGGATGAATCTCAGTTGATTCGGCGTATAAGGATGAACAGCAGAAAGGTACAGAGATGGGAACGAGTTAGTAGCTCCTGGATTTGATTGATATAATTTTTCTTAAAACAGAAAGAAGTACCAAGGATAAAGTGTATCTAATCATTTTTTTTAAATAAAAAGAATGTGTATTATATTGAATCAAAATTTAACTGTACTATAATTTTAAATAGTCAAAATTGGTCAAGTAATGTTTTTATTATTTCCAAAGTATAGTCATACTTTCATAGATTATACTAAACTTCATTTATGTTTTAACAACTTTCACCAAAAAAAAAACTCATGGAAGCTTTTTAGATCAACTGACAGACATTTTTGTTCTTGATCTTGCAGTTGAGGAATTTGGTTTGGGCCACATCAAAGCATGATGTCTACCTTATGTCACATTTTTCTGTCGTTCATTGGTCTTCATTGACATGTAGCAAGTCTGAAATTCTCAATGTTTCAGGTCATGTGGCACCATCAGAGGTGGGTGTCTCTGATCATATTCATGCTCTAGATAGCATTAAATTGTTCGTTTCCCCTGAAATAGATCACTCTTTTTTCAGAAACATCCTGGAAGCCTGTTGGAAGGGTTTACTCAGACCCAAGTGAGTACGCTTGCTGTAAAAGATAATTTGCTAGTCGCCGGAGGATTTCAAGGAGAACTAATTTGCAAGGTAACTTATAAGACTTCTGGATTTAATGAAATGGATAATTATTAGTCGTGCAATTTTATTTCCTTTGGCATGCTCAGGGGAGCTACTATTGTGCTTCTGATTATGTTTGTACACTCTTTTAAGTTGTAGAGTTTGGGTGGTAATAAAAGATCTTTGATCAAACTTTTTATTTGAGAGCAATAGAGCTTTTTGATACGTCTGGGAATATCTTTTTTGAGAAGTAAAAATATCTGAAAATGATCTCTTGGGTTTCTCATCTTAGCCTTTATTGGGTAGGCTTTTATAACATTGTTGGCCTTCTAATCGCTGTTCTTTCATTCATTTAAAAGAGAAAGCAAGAAAATGATGATTCTAGTTGTGTTCTCTAATAGTCAGGTGAATTTTCAGCAATGGAGTTCTTTATTTTTTTGCCTTGCAGCATCTTGATAGACCTGGGGTAAGCTTTTGCTCAAGGACAACTTATGATGATAATGCTATCACCAATGCTGTTGAAATCTATGTCAATTCTAGGTATTTCATCTTTCTTGTGCTTATGGTGGAGCTTTTTCACCTGTAACTTGGATCTAATTGAACTTATTCTTTAATCCTCAGTGGTGCACAACACTTTACAGCATCAAATAATGACTGTGGTGTCAGAGACTTTGATATGGAGAAATATCAACTTGCTAAGCACTTCCGTTTTCCTTGGCCAGTTAATGTAAGTTTGTTTTATTGCTATTCTGTTGAAGAAATTTGTAACTATCCTAAACCTAGGTGTTAGGTAGTTGCAACTTTCATGGCTGTCTATGGCAGTTCTCTATTTTTTTTACACTTCAGCCTATAAGCTGTAATTCACGACACTTGTCATAAGTACTGGTGATGTGTTTAGGGTGATTGTCTTTCTGAAGTAAATGTGGAGTGTATCTTCTAACATAGTTTGGTCCATGTGCCGGAAGTAATTATAGTTTACTTCTGCTTATTTCAACAAAAAAAATTATAGTTTACTTCTGCAGAAGCTGCTGCCTTTAGGGCCTAGTTTTAGTATGTTCTGGATTATGCTATATGATAAATGGCAAGAATCACGTTTTATTAACCTGATAATGATGTTCTGGTGATGGTTTCTTTAAACATTGCATCAGATGATCATTGCATGTGTTTCTTTGTAATATTTCAGCATTCGTCCCTGAGTCGTGATGGTAAACTACTAATAATTGTTGGAGACAGCCCTGAGTGTCTCTTGGTGGACTCCAATACCGGGAAGGTAATGTCCAGTTTCTTGTTAATGCTCTGTAATTAACTGCTTAATGTCCAAGAACGCAAACAACAAAGCGTATTTGTTGCAATTTCTTCCGCAGACTGTGACATCTTTGTGTGGGCACTTGGATTACTCTTTTGCATCAGCATGGCACCCCGATGGTGTCACTTTTGCTACTGGGAACCAGGATAAAACCTGCCGGATATGGGATGCTAGGAACCTATCCAAGTCAGTTGCTGTACTGAAGGGAAATCTAGGAGCTGTTCGGTCGATTCGTTACACGTCTGATGGTCAGTACATGGCAATGGCCGAGCCTGCTGATTTTGTCCATGTTTATGATGCTAAAAATGGATACGAGAAAGAGCAGGAAATTGATTTTTTTGGTGAGATATCTGGCATATCCTTCAGCCCTGATACGGAGTCTCTTTTTGTTGGGGTTTGGGATCGTACATATGGTAGCCTGCTTGAGTATGGCCGTTGCCGGAACTACTCATACCTCGATTGCTTGCTTTGAGTGGGATTTGCAAGCTGAAAATAAGCGTGTTGTTCTGGTTGGTTACTGAGTTAATTTGAGAAAGCCTAGTAACATAAAATTTCGGTAGGGGGGTGCGGATAGATGTAAATGTAATATGTTGTGCAATTGTAGGGTATCATATGGTTCAATTAGTTTTCATTGCAATGTGGTGACTGTCTTATCTATCGTAAGAATTGTAAGAGGGAGGAGGGGATGTACAGAAGGCTAGGAAGCACCTGTGTTGTGCCAACAGCAAGGAGAGAACTTTGCGATTTATGGTTCGGACGGGACAACTTCATGGTTCATTAATAGTTGTTCTTATGGTTCTTCTTATTGTAAAAGGAGTCTGGAAGTGAACTGATCAACGGCCATAGTCGTCTCGTCCAAAGTATGTTCTTGGAGTTTGGGATCTTCTGTTTTGCAACAATTAAGTCGTGAGATGGATGGAAAATCGCATAATAGATGCTTTCGGCCTACATTTGTTGTTGCATTTATCCTTTGTTGAACTGGAATTGTTTTACAGATGCGTATGAATTCAAGTTCTTTGCCTGCCTTTTTTGGCTTTCTAGTTGAGAAGAAATTATGAAGGTAAGAGAAAAGTAGAGAGGGTGGGGGGGGTGTTATCTGTTAATTCTTTCAAAGAAGAGCAATTTAATTTTCTACTTTTGAGAGAATCACGTGTTTTGATATATCAAATTGAGTAGTGCTGAGAATGTTTAATAATAAAATTTTTAGTTTTAATATTTTTTTTTATTTGTTAAATTATTAACTTTTTATTAAATATTAAAATGCTTTTAATGGTTAGATTTATGCATATTCGATGATTTAACAGTTGACGTTTTGAGTTGAGCTTATTGTAATTTGCAACAATTTTTTAATATTCTGATCAAAATTATAATTAGTTCTTGAGAAAATTATTATTTTAATTTTAAATTATTCGAAAGTATAATTTCGTTATTAAATTTATAAAATGATTGTATATTTTTATACAATTAATAGAAAACAATAAAAAGAAATTATTAGTTCAGTAATTAAATTATTAGTAATTTTTTATTACACAGATAAACTAATAGAAAATATTATCGCAATTCCACCTCTTAATTGTCTCCGCGCAAAAGAAAATGTTGATCCATCAAGGGATTTGAACCCGACGTGAATCGAACACGCAACCTTCTGATCTGGAGTCAGACGCGCTACCATTGCGCCACGGATCCTGTTGCTTCTCTCTCTGTTTATAATGAATATGAAGCTATTACTTCTGAACCTTGAAATTTGCAATAAACAATCTCTTATCCATAACGAACCAACGAAAAAGAACCACGTCAGCACCTAAAATCTACGTAAACTCATTCCCGTCCTCACAAAGCAGATCTCTCTGCGTCTCTGCTCCGCCATTAACCTTCTTCGTAATCTCGAACGAAGATATATCATCATCTCCTCCCAAACTCGATCAAAAACAACTACATCCAGAACGGAAAGTCGAACATGGCTACCTCATCGGCCCTGTTCACTCCCACTACTTTCTCCGGCATTCACAACCACAATCCTAACAACATCACCTTCCAAGGCCTCAAACCCCTAGCGCCGCAAAGAACCATCGCCTCTTCGGTGAAGCTCACCGCCGTCGGTACGAGACGGAGATCAAGCGTCTCCGTGAAAGCCGAATTGAACCCCTCGGTGGTAATCAGCTTGAGCACAGGCCTATCGCTGTTCTTGGGGAGATTCGTCTTCTTCAATTTCCAGAGAGAGAACGTGGCGAAACAAGTTCCGGAGCAAAACGGGTTGACCCATTTCGAAGCGGGCGATACCCGGGCGAAGGAGTACGTGAGTCTGCTCAAGTCAAATGACCCAGTCGGGTTCAACATCGTTGATGTTCTTGCTTGGGGATCGATCGGACACATCGTGGCGTACTACATCTTGGCGACCTCAAGCAACGGCTACGATCCTAGCTTCTTCAACTGATACGATATGAGCGGTTGCCGAGAATCATCTCTTCCGGTACAATTTGTTTCTGGTCGTCTCGCCGGTGTGCCCGTACTGTTCTACTTCTTTTCTAATTTGTATAGTTGTAACTCTAAATTAGCTTTTTTTTTTTAATTTCTGAATTTAAATTTGGTTGGTAATTATGATTATGAATTTTCTGTTAGTAATCTGTGTTGACGTCTGGGCGTTACCATTACTTAACGGGAATCTGCCGGAGGATTCGAGATTATTTGAACCAAAAAAATATATATATATATTTATAAATTGAATTTAGTAATTTAATAATAGCAAAATAAATAAATAAATAAATATCAAATATAATTAAAAATTATATAATATCAGTGTCTCAGAGTATCTTAAAATATTATAAAATTTTAATTATTTGATAATTAATATGTGTTATAGTGTATGTAACTGAACATTACAACATATCATAAATTTAAACAGTTAAGAGGGAAAATTAAGTATTTATAAGTTATAATTTTATATATTTTTAATTAAAATTAAGTATAAATTTATAATTATAAGTAAAATAACATTTTAATTCACGAACTATTTATATGTTATAATTAATCTTACTTTTTATATAATTTAATCAGTAAACTCATAATTTTATTTTAATTTATAATATTTTTACACACCTAAAAAATTTTGAGAAAAATAATAATTTTTTTTAAAACTTTGCTTATATTTTATTTTTAATAAAATTAGAAAGTGATAATGATTAAAGTTCATCTTAATTAATTTAGCAAAAAATATAATTTATTTTATTAAAACAATAGTAACAAACATAGGTTAAAAAAAAAAAGAAATATGTAATTGGTATTTTTAAAATAAGACAAATAAGTAATTAAATATAATATTAAATTATAATAAATTTTAACCTAACAATAGAAATTTCAGTCTTGACTATACCTAGAAAAATATATAATACATAGTATTAAATTAAAGAAGAGAAGGCGGATATTTTGTAAATTGAATTTATTTGGTACATAATTTTTTAACTTTTATCATGGCCGACAATTCCAATTTCCTACGCTTCCTTTCTTGGATAGTGTAAAGATTAAAAATTAAAAATATATACTTTAGTTTTTTTTTTTTTTAAATTTAAATAATAGTAATCACAAATTCTAGTATTAATCATGACTTGGTATACTATAGTATTTACCATAATAATTACTTTGTATATTTTCAAATTTCTACAATCTTTATACAACATATTATGGTCATGATACAATCCTAAGAATTAATGTATTTACAATTCTATTTGTAATAATAATGTTATCATATTATAAACATTTGATGAAAATAATTTGGTTTTTAAATTTTATTATTTATCAATTAAAGAGTAAGAATAAGAATTTATGATTATTAAATTAAATTAAATTTAAGTTAGGATTAAATTTTACATATTAAATATTAAAATAATAATATTCTAAGGGTCGCACCAACTAAACCGTTCAATTCAATGTATCTTTATTTATTACATATCATATTAAATTAAACATACTTTACACCATCCTAATGCCACCAAATCTAATATATTCATTATATATATATTTATTTAGGTTTTCTTTGAAATAATAAAATTCAATATTATAAATTATATAATTATAATTATTATCAAATTATATATCTATGTGTGTGTATTAGCGTCGTCTGTTTTGGTTAATGTTTGTTTGTTTGTTTCTAGTGTAATAAGAAGGGAAAAAATCTAGCCATCTGCGTTTACCAGGGAAGCTAAAAATGTCCACCCATCATATTTCACCTCCTCACCAACAATTTCACAGAGACACCGCTTCTCCAAATGCTGACTCTCCTAAAAACAACTCTACCGCCCCTTACCCTCCCGCAACCGCATCCTACGACGACGTCGTTCGCGACGGCGACCTTTTCTGGGAAAAGCTCAGAGCTTTCCACAAGTCTTCTGGCAACAAATTCAAGTCAGTCCCCCCTCTCTCTCTCTCTCTCTCTCTCTCTCTCTCTCCACTGCATGTCGTTTTAATTCACTGATTTTTACTTCTCTTATTCGATTTCTCTGGTTTTTTATCTTATTTTCACAGATGGGTTTGTGTTTTGTTCTTCAGTATTTTGTTGGGGTTGCTAGGGGCTGTTCGGCTGTTGTGATCTGGTAGTTGTAGTCTTTTCTTTCTGGGTTTTGTTCATCTACAATTTTTATTATCTTTTATGTTGATCTCAAGTGATTCTTCTTCTTCAAGGAAGATTAATTGTCCGAACTTTGAGGTTAGAGGTCAGATAGAGCGGGCATGGTTCGGAGCTTGAAAGCATGTTTCTTTTTATTCGTTTATTTTTTCTTTGGGGGGAGTTCTAATTGACTAGGATATGACCCAGGTCTTAATGCTTGACTGGTAATTAATGTGTAATAATTGATGGGGAAACTTAAAAAATTGCCTTCGTCTATTTTTTTTTTTTACTCAAACACTGTCCTGACATACAAACCCCTTAAAGCTAGAAGCATGGATTGAGCAGATATCTAGTAAAATAGTTAGGATTTTGAACTTTAGATCTCCAGTTGTTGGAGTGTAGATCTCAAACTTGATTAATCAAACTGTATGCCATCCTCTTGTTCATTTTACTCTTGCATTTTCTTTTTAATAATTTGCTCCAGATTTAGGCATTTGTATTATTCTCTCTGATGATGGAAGTTATTCTTCCAAGCTAATGAAATATGCAGAGGGTGTTCAGCGGCCCCAAAAATAAAATTTTATGGCAGTTTCGTTAACTGGAGGTAGGAAACAAACTGGACTTTTTCATATTCTATTTATATTTTCACGTTGTGTAGGGTTCCTACTGTTGGCGGCAATGCTCTAGATTTGCATCGGCTCTTTGTGGAGGTCACTTCTCGTGGTGGCATTGAAAAGGTCGGACTTGTTGTGAATTTACTTCTGATTTTACCATGGATATTTGCAAACCTAGTATTAGGATTCAGGAAGATGTTTACAAGCTCATTTTTAATGGGGAATACTATCAAGTGGGTTTCTTCGGATATTACCTGCAAATCTTACTGTAAAAATAACTAGTAATAGTAGCTGACTGTGATGCTAGGATGAACAGTAGTAACTTTTCTGAAATGGTTACAGGTAATTAGAGATCGTAAATGGAAGGAAGTGATTGGGGCCTTCAAATTCCCGACAACAATTACGAGTGCATCATTTGTCTTACGGAAGTATTATCTATCATTACTTTATGACTTTGAACAGGTTTACTACTTCCGCAAGCAATTTTCTCCACTCTCAACTGCTGGTACATACTTGGGAGTTGGATTCTTTGTTTTTTTCTCCCCTTTTTTGGTTGAAAATCATGTTTGCTTTTCTCGTAATTTATATTTTTGTTATTCATTATTTTCAGATGATAAACTACAGAGGATGGTCAATGAATCAGTGATACTGGATGAGGGTGAGTAATTATGTAACTATCACCTTTTAATTATGAATGTGCCTGCTTGAGATTCAAAGAAAAAGGAACTCTGTTTTTAAAGTTTCTAGGAATATAATTCACTTTCTTAGCACTGAGATTCCTGGATGCTCACTACTTTAAAAGTAAGGGATATTATGTGTGCCAATTCCTTGATTTGGTGCTTAGATAGTTTGTGGCTGATTTTTGGTAGCTCCAATTGAAAGATAACAATGTGTATGCACACATGTGAAAATGAATAGGCTAAAAATCCACTTAGATAGTTTCTATGATGTCAATGGATGAGGCTATTTGTATGGATAATTCCCAAGAAAATCGATTATATATATGCTGATACACGCTGATGTCTGTACCGTTGTTATTTGTGCTTTTATCACTCCTTAATATAACTTGCAGAATGCGTGGATCAATTATTTGTGATTGGACTTATATACTCCTTTTTTAACTAAATCTCAACTTGCTACAAAAAGAAAATAGTGTCCTGAAATTTAGCAGGCTTGCTTCAAAATTCTTATGGACTTGGTTCTTAAGGTCTTCCTAGTATTCTCCGGATATTTTTTGTTTCATTTCCTTTTTCAACTCTTTTTTTTCTAAAAAAAAAAATTGTCATCTCCTACAATTTCGTCTTTCATTAATATTTGGAGCAGCCAGATATCCAACGTTTGTATTCTGTTTTAAATTTCTTTGCCTCATTATACATGCAGGAAATCCTGAACTGCATGTTGGTTGTTCAGTGATTGGAGCTATTGATGGAAAATTTGATAATGGATATCTGGTTACTGTCCGGTTTGGTTCTGAAGAGCTTAAAGGTGTATTGTATCATGTTCCTCCTGTGCCCTATGGATCTTGCAGTTCTTACACCTCAACTTTACCACCACGGAAGCACTGGAAGAGGTCCAGGTTGGCTCTTCGGGACCCTTCTAGGCCTAAGTCAAACAGGAGTGGTTACAATTTCTTCTTTGCGGAGCATTATACTCGACTAAAGCCTCATTACCACGGGCAGGAGAGAATCATCAGCAAGAAGATTGGGAATTTATGGAACAATCTAACTGAGGCTGAAAAGCAGGTAGGAACCACGTCCCTCCAAGCAAAACTCGCAAAAAGTGCATTTACGTGGATCATGCTCGCCAATAGTCCTATTGGGTTGGGTTTCTTGCACTTTGACTGTCTGGAAGTGGAACGTGAAGCAGAAAATTTCTAACAATAACTGTTATTCAAAACTCTTTCCTTGCACTTTCTTAATTCTCAAAACATGAATTTCTTGCTACAAGTGGTCATGTTATTTTCATCCCGATGCAGGTTTATCAGGAGAAGGGATTGAAGGATAAAGAGAGATATAGGACTGAAATGATGGAGTATAAATCTTCCTATGATTCAACAGCTCAGTAGGCTACCTTAGTTTGCTTCTTCGAAACCTGTTAACTAGGTCATAAATTTTCTCTTTTCTGTACTTTTTTTTTTTTTTTTTTTTTTTATTTCCGTCCTTGATGTTCTTGTTGTTGAGGCAGCTGGTGGTGGGATAAATTTTCTTTCAGTAAAACTTGCTGACAACTTTCCCTTCCATTAGACACTGCAAGAAGGATGGTTATAGGAAACTAATTAACTAGTCCCGAAAGTTTATGTATGAACGTAGAGTGCTGCAACCAATCTCAATCTCAGAACACTTAGGATGAACTTATTCCATCAGATAATTAGATCCCGACTTTTGTTTGTTTGTGTCGAGTAAACTAGCTCGTAACAGCCTAATTTTGTGATCTTGATCTAATACGAACATGATGCTTATATACCCTTGAATTTGGTCCTTGTTTTTGAATATATTGCCTCTGAATTGGTGGATTTATTTTTCTTGAGACTATCTTGTTTCTGGTCATACATACTTGAGACTCTATATCTTCTTCCTTGTAAATTGTAGTGTCTTATAACATATACATATATGTGTGTGTGTGTGTGTGTGTGTATGTATATGGTATGCAGTGTGATCTGGTCAAAATTGTGATTTACGTTTATCAATGCGGTCGTCATAAGTTGGAAACTCCATTTTGATTGCCATTGCTGCCCGACTTGTTTGGATTGGACTTCTTTTTGTCAACTTACAGCAGAGATTTCTTCGGCTTTGATTGTCAACAAAAAGTAATAAGATAAACTCTTACTACTACAACTTTCAGTCAAAGGGTGTTGTAATTGCTTGACGAAACATATATATATACATATATATATATATATATATTGTTAAATAATTAAATAAAAAATAAAATGTATTATTAAGAATTCTGAATTTCAACAAAAGTAACTCAAGGCATTAATTAGATAAGTAATTTAAGTTAATTAGTAAAATCCATTTTTAACAATTTCTATATTATTTTTTAAAAATCATAATTATTAAATAAATAATCCGAAACTAAATGGAAAAAAAAAATAATAATTTTGACAGTTGTATTTGGTAATCTTTAGGAGAATAGAGTTAGGTTGTTAGCCAAACAATATCAAAAGCCAAAGTAGCATGTAGTAGCCTGGCTAATGACAATGACTCACTATATATATATATATATATGTATATGTATATGATTTCATATTCGATATATAAACGAGAAGTTTATATTTACATATTAAATAATGAATACATTTACCACTGAAAGAAATATAACGTAATAAAAGAATAAAACCACTCGACTCTAAAAAAAATCATAAAGTTTTTAACTGAAACAACCATAAAGATAAAATTATAATATATATCTACATACATACATATATATATATATATATGAACAGAGAGAGAGAAAGAGGGGGGAGATTGAGCAAAATTGGGTTTGAAAAGTTGAAACCGCGTGGAAACATACAATAAAAACCCCCCACAAAAAGAGCGAGAGAATCCCATCTTCATTAATTCTTTTTGCATCATCATAATACATGCACGGCAGTTCAGTCCACTGGGAAGATTACCATATATACACACACCAACATGTGTATGTATGTATATGAATATATGTAGAGAAAACATATATATGTATATACATATACACACACACACACACACATGTATGTATGGTTATAAATTATATATATGGGTTGAATCCCAAATCAAAAGATTTATTCCTATAACAAGTCATTTTTTTTTACTTAAATTACCATAAATTACAGATTAAGAGAATAATGAGGCACAATTAATGTAGATGTAGAATGAGGGATTTTCGGGATGCACCCCATCCTCATCCCCACCCAACTTAATCAGAATCATAATATATATATATAAACTCATATATGTTCACATTCTGTGATGTGTGTATATATATATATACTCATATTGTAGATATACATGCTTATTATGGTACTGCTACAAGTACTAGCTGCTTCCACGCACTGATTTATTTTTCAACCGGAATAAATTAATTAAAATTACATAATTCCCATATATATATATAATTAAATTATAATTTATGATATTAAAACTTAAAGAAAAATCAAAATTAATAAATATAATTCTTAATTTAATGGGATTCCAAAAGAACGGATTGATTCAGAGGAGAACGTGACAGTCAATTTTCCACATTGCATCCTCACCAGTTTTCTTTCTTTGTGACCTTCCTTCTTCTTCTTCTTCTTCTTCTTCTTATTCTTCTTCTTCGTCTTCGTCTTTGTCTTCTTCCTTCTTCTCGGGTCTTCAGGGGATTTTTCTTTTTTTTTTTTTCTCACCGTGTTTTCTCGCAGACAAATTTGAGAATTCCGGGAGCTGATTCTGGTGAGCTGGGTTTTGTCTGGGTCCGATTCACTAATTTTTCGGGATCTTTTTCCATTGTGGGTGTTCGAAATTTTAGGAAGAGATAGGAAATTCATCCCCAAAAAACAAGTGGAGAGGAAAAATTGGAAGCTGAGTGGGTTTCTTCCAAACCAAGCTAACATAAACCCTACCCAAATCCTCAATCTAAAAATTCTGATTTCCTACTCTTTTTGGTGCTCTTTGTGATTCTGTTCACATTGGATCACTACTCTACTCACTTGTCTTTTCAACTCCTTAGCTGAGAATAAGAAGCAGAAGAACAAGAAAAAGAAGAAGGAGACTGTACCCTTTTTGGATTTGTAGCTAGCTCGACCGTCAACAATGGAGAAAGATCAAGATCAAGGGAAGGCGAAGTTGCCGGGAGTGGTGGGATCGGGTTCCGGGGAGAAAGATAAGGATTTTTCGACAAAGAGCGGAATATCGATTAAGCTCAAGATGCCGAGAAGGGACTCTAATGAAGCTGCGGAAGGTAGTACTCCCGTGGCAGACGGCGGAGGCGGCGGCTCCGCCGGCTCTGGTGGTTTATCGAGTAATAATCAAAGTCGCGTATGCCAGGATTGCGGGAGGGTTTTCTCATCGGGAAAAGCGTTTGGCGGGCACAAGAGAATCCATGTTCAAGCCGCCAAAAAATCTCAAAAGCTTATGAATCTTGTCGTCAACAAAAATGATCTTCCTAATCTTGATCGACAGTTGGTTCTCGCAGGATCCAAAGATCATAAAAAAAATGGCGTGGAAGAGGAGGTGAGTTGCGCAATCTGCGGCAAGGCTTTCGTATCCATGAAAGCGCTGTTCGGCCACATGAGGTTCCATCCAGATAGGGGTTGGAGAGGAGTTCATCCACCAAACGACGTCGGATTGAAGGCTGCTTCTTCAACCTCCACCCTTTCCGATGATCGTCTTCATATCGATTCTTCAGCTACCACTGGCTCCGTCTTGGACCTCAAGAATTTGCTGGAGGGATGGTCGGTCACTGGTAAAAGAGGTCGAAAAGCCATCCCTCCTGCTTCTTCCGCTTCCGGGTATGGCTCCGGCTACGGGTCCGGGTCCGGGTCCGGGTCCCGCTCTGGTTCTTATGGGATTCAGGAGGAAGACAGAGACGATAATGATGATCGATTGGATGAGAATGACATGGACGAAGCGGTGAAGGATCTCTTGATATTTGCTTGTGGGGGATCTTCTCAATCTGATGGGAATCCAAAGAAGAAGACAGCTGAGGAGCAGAAGAGCTCCATTAACGGAGCTGGAAACAAGCTTAATATCAAGGGAGATCACACTGAACTAGAGAGCAAAGACAATGGAGAGCTGAACAAGATGATGAAGAGGAAGAAGAAGAGACGACTGTGTGATCTGGAGAGAGAAGGCGAAGCTGTGGTGACAGACCAAAACAATCAAGGTCAACACATCTGCATCACCTGCAACAAGCCTTTTCCTACCCACCAGGCTCTTGGCGGCCATAGGTCCAGCCATAATAAACTCAAGAATAATGTTGCTAAAGAGCCAACAGTGTCAGGATTGAATCAGGAAACGGTACTGAGCGAAGATCAGGAAGTAAGTACTGCAGCCAATCACCAATGCAACATATGCAACAAAACGTTCCGAACAGGTCAGGCACTCGGCGGACATATGCGGCGTCACTGGACGGCCCCGACGGCATCAGCTCCGGCAGAAAGTCAAGCCACCTCCTCATCATCTGAACAACAACAGCCCACTACTCGTATTGTCCGTAACTTTGATCTCAACGAGCTTCCTTCCCAAGAAGCTGATGATTGAAATGCTGTAAGCTTTAGAAACATGCATGGGTTGATGACGATGATGATCATTAGTCTGGTTGAGTTTTCTGAGAAAGATTAATGGCATGCAGTAGCAGAGAAGTCTAGTTATGGAAATGGTGATACACAGTTTCAGTGTTTAGGTCAGTTTGGTTTCTAGTTTAGTTTTAGTTGTGCAGTGGAAATGATGAGGAGAAAACTTTTGTTTCTGGTTTAGACAGTTTGGTGTGTTAAGCCATTGATGTTAAAAAGATCCAAAAAAAAAAAGCTCATTGTATTTTCTTCTGGGATGAAGATGATGATGACGTAAAAACTATATATATATATATATTTTTTTACAAATTTTTGTGTTGTTATTTATTAATTTTTATTTTTTATGCATTGCTTATAATATTCACAGTAGAAACTTCTTATTACCTAAAATATTTTTTTTTTTAAAAAAAAAAAGAAAAAAATTCAGAAACAAAAAACTTTTTGTCTGCTGCATTCAGGATTTATAAACTTAATTAATTATTATTTTTATTTAATTATTTAAAAAAATGAAGAGGATATAAATAAAATGGGGCCCAGTGGAATTGGGTGTTATGGAAGGAGGAGAAAAAACTGGTCAAAATCTGTTTTTACTCTTCTGTTGCCTTCGCTTGTTGTATGAAGGAGTTGATGGTGTGAGAATTTAAGGCTTAGACTTGTTAGCGGTTACAAGACATTTTGTATATACAACTCCATTACAAGTGTACACATATATATAATATATATGTATACATATCTCCCAACAAAACCCACTTTCTGGGTTCAATATACTTACATGTATGTATATATATATATATATATATATATATATCACAGTAACAAAAAGGGCATTAAAAGTCACTTGTAAGCAAAAGACCAAGTCATATTACATATATATTTGTGAGAGATATAAAATTTTTATACATACAAAACGCACAGGGCACCTCTATATGTGTCTGTATGTATATGCATTACATATATATGTATATATATGTGTGTGTGTGTGTAGGTAGAGAGAAAATTAAAAAGGGAAGTCTCATCACCTGTTTTCTTGACAAATTCTCGTGAAAGAAACACTTTTCATGTACGCGAATCATTTTTGACTTTATGCTCATAAACACCTTCTCTTTCTCATCCCACATTCTTTATCAATTCACTACCAAAATTTGTCTCTATTTTTTCATACCATAATGTGTGTATATATATATATATATATATATATATATATATGTATGTCTATATTTGTTTATTTAACTCCCTTTGCTCTATAACTTGATTAAATTTATGATATCATTGAAAATTATTAAAAAAAAGTTTATTTGTTTATATTTTATAAATTATTATTTTTATACAAATAAATCGTATTTTGTTAAACAAAACTAGTGAATCGATTCTTATTTTTTATAAGTCTAAAGTTAATTTAAAAAAAAAAAAACATAAAATTCCACCTTAATTTTTAAAAAATTTTATAAAAAACATCCAAAAGATTCTGATTAAATAATATTTTATTTAAAAATAAAAATGATAAAAACCGACTTTGAATAAGTTTGAATTTAATTTTATATTATAAATTAAGAATTTTATTTAAAATTTTTATAAATATATTTAATATAAAAATAAAATATAAATATGATATTGTGTTGGGTGGAGGAAATTATGGATATTGTGTTGGTGGGGAATCTGCAAGCTGACTAAAAAAGTCAAAGTAACTGCCATCAGATATTCAGTTGGGCTCTGTTAGTTGGTGACTTTGTTGGGACAATATGGCCCACCTAATCCCAACTCTCTTATAATATTATATATATATATATATATACATACATACATATACATATATATATATATATATACCAGGGCCCAAGTACTCTCCCAAAGCCAATCCAAGTCACCATCCACTTTTACACACACATCACCACCCTATACATATTGTAATCCCACATATATATATATATATATAAAAATATGTCAAGTTAATAACAATAAACACAAATATAATATTTAGTAGGTAATAAAAATTAT